GGTATATTTGGTATTATTATCATGACTGTTTATCTCTTTTCAGACAATTTACTTTGTACGAAAAGGAATGCAAAGAATTAGATTTTTCACCTAGATAAATGTTTTGTAAAAAGCACTTATAGTTATAAATTATGTCGTAAATATACTGCACGTTTTCTTTTTCTCTCACTTCATATACTTTGTTAACACAGAGACTTTAAAATACATATATGTCTCTGGTTAACAGTAATATTATAACGTTATAGAGGAAAACATTATGTTCATTATTCAATTTTTATATCAAATGTCTTTTCTTTATTTCTTTGAAAATTACATGCCGTCAGTGGAAATCCGCTTGCGTATTGCTCTGTGATTTATTTCTATCAATTATATACTTGCATTGTTAAATCTTATATTATATTGTTGGATGAAAAATGAAATATTTCAAATAAATAGCATTAGTAATCACTGTTTGTTCTTGATATTTAGTCATGGGATAAAACATAAATTACATTTTAATCGACTGTATTACAAATGCGATATATTCCAGCAAATAGCTCACGCTAGACATGTAAATATGTATTGGAAATGATATGGGATAAAAAAACGCTTGAAAAAACGCTTGACATGTGGAATTGATATGCATCCAAATGTTTATCCGAAGGTTCATGTCAAGCTCAATACGAAAACATTACATAGTCAAATATATGTAATAGTATGTGAGTTTTTATATATTCAATTTCACTGGCAGATCCCTGTGTCCGAATGCTTTGATTCATTATGAGAATGTAAATTACATGTTGTTAAATTATGTGAACATCTTGGCATTATGAAGTTTATTGTGCAGTACGAACACATACATGGTTATAACTGACACCAAATATACAAAAAGATGAATAGATTGTGATGTAAAACTGTAAAAGTCGTTAATAGAATACACCACACAGGGGTTCTTGTAAGAACGTGTGTACGTACGTGTATGTAACATGTCTACATACCCAGCCCGTTTCTCCAAGACACGTTCAAATATATACGTAGGTAAAAAGTGTACATCATGAACATGTGCAGACGGTTTTGGCGAAACCGCGCCAGAAATCTCTGTCAATATCATTTTTAAGGTATATATTATTTTATTTGTTATATTGTTGAAACTTGTTTTACTGAATATTTAACTTACTTAGACGAGCGTCAAAGAAAATATTGTTTCGAATTACATTTTGAAGGCAAGTGAAAATGTTAAATCTAACGACGTGCAAATCGCACATAAATCCAATGACTTGAAAATCGCATATAAATATAACGACGTGCAAATCGCACATAAATCTAACGACGTGCAAATCGCACATAAATCCAACGACTTGCAAATCGCACATAAGCTCATTCAGCGAAAACTTTAATTAGATCTTTGAATTGTATTTAGGTAAATATTTATTTTTATCTTATCTTTATAGATTTTTTTCCTCCAAATTTTCCTATAACTCTTCACAACTCATGTTGAACGCGTACTTCAATGAATTTAATCATTCTTGTAAATCATTCGACACTTAAAATGCCATATTTTATACGGACCCACTGATAATTGAACACATTTTGTGGTGTTATCGATTGATATGGGTATACTTTGACATGTGTAAAATTAGATTTTGACCCCGTTGAAAATAAATCCCACGAGTATTTTTAGTACATTTTGATCAAGTTACAACTTTGAAAATTGACCTCTTCCCATTATTTAATTACCAACCCAAATATAAATTCCCCCACCCCTTGTAAACTGATCAACTATAAGCAGGTCATATTTGAATATTGATAAGAGATCCGAATAAACTTCCTTTCAGAAATTTACGAAATAAACATTTCTTTATTTTATACAGAGGACGAAAAGCTAGTAACACAATGTCAACTCATCGGAAATAACTTTGATAATGGACTGTTATATACTTCTTATATTGTGAGCTACTGTATATAATATTACATAACATGCAGAAAAAATGTATGATTATGTTTTTTTCCCGGCATCTCAGGAATTTGCCTGCTAGTATTAATTGGACGTCTTCTATCGTTATGAATATTTAAAATATATCACACTTGTTAAAATCTATCTACCCCTCTTAGAATACATATTAAGTTAAGAATCCACTACAATGGTGTTATTAATTTGAGCCGTGCGTCCGTCAACTATTTATTCAATAAGTTTTTCAAAAATGATCAGGGGATGTAACAGCTGTTACAAGTTTGTAGTGTATCAGTAATTTCCAGCAACGGTTATTTCCTTTGATCAGATATAAGACGCCCGTCCTTGTTATGCTTATCAAATGATGTTTCTTCACTACATTCAGACGTTTACATGTAACTGTATGAAAAATAACCTTAAAAACGACACTATTTTGATGAAAAAGTAACGATTGATCAGTAATCAACGTTTTATTTACAAAATGAAATGCTTCATTGCTGGCAAGATTAATTTTTAAACTTTGAAAAAAGACCCAGGTTCAGGTTTAAGCGTCGAAAAAATGACACATTCTATTTATTGTATGAAGCCCCCATTTCTTTTTTTTTTTAACGCTAATTTTTTAAATTGAAAGTACTGATGTAATTTAACACATTTTGACGAACGTAGTGTATAATGCTACAAATTAAAACTAAATCATAGGAGGAAATGAAAAATCATGTCAAATAAAAATTCTTATAAACTTCTATCAGCAAAAAAAATTACATTTTTATTCATTTAAAACCATACCATAAAATTAAATGTCATAATTCGCATGTGATTCTGAATCTTGTTTGTGAATAAGACATTTGACATATTTCTTTGTTTTAAATCTTGTAGACGTTTCTTTAGGTTGACATTTTTGGGAAGTTTGCTAATGAAACATTGATACAAACATATTCAAAATTTCAAATAAAAGCTCAAGGAAGATAGAAAGATATCCAGGAAATGTTGTTGATTTATACATATATTATAATTTCAATTCTATATGCCAAAGTAAACACTATATATTTTATAAAAAAATAAAATTAAGATGCACGGAACGTCGGTGGGTGGTTTTACTCAGGGGGGGGGGGGCGTTCGTGCCGAAATAATGTAGAAAAGGCACCTGAGGTCGACCTCCAGTAGTAAAGCTGAAAAGTTGCCATATGACTTTTACAGAGTTTTAGCGACTCAAAAAATCACACATACACATAATATAAATAAATACATAGCCTGCTGCTATTAGAACTTACCTGTAATTATATTCTAACTAGGAAAATACGTTTGAACTTCTGAATCATAGTACAAGTCTATTGTTTAAAACAATAGATTATTTATACATTCGTAGGTGATGGTTCGAAAATAAGTGAATTGATAATATTTTTATTGTTCAAAAAATATCCTAAGAATTAGATGCTATATTCTTAATTCCAGACAGCGGAATGAATTATAGCTCGCATGTCATCTATAGAGGGTATTGAATGAGTATTAGTTCAATACTGAATTCATTGAATGAGTTGAATAAAATTATATTATGCGATTTTACCTTTTGTGTTTATAAACCAATAATGTATAGAATATATACTGTAAAACATTTTGCATGAAAAGACGTACATACAATGTTTAAAACATAAGCATTCGTCGAAATGAATGTTAAGGGTGGATGTGGGGATAATAATTCATGAAATATTTATTTATATATTGTAGTATGACAGTATACAATAAAGTCATTTAATCAAACAATAAATATTTATTGAATATGAATTACACAATACATAAATTTATTCAACTTCAACACTAAAATATATGTGTAATGAACTTTACGTGCTTTTAGCTTGGAAATGTCAATCTTACATAAGTATGACGAGACAAATTTGAAAGCAAATACTGCCTTTTTTACAACCATGATACAAATATCTGATTCACCATTTACCAATATAAAGTTTTTCTTCTGTTTGTTCTCTTTCCAGAATACCAAACGTTCCAACTATGTATAACCATGACAAAAATAAGACAGTTTTTCAACAATAGAACAACGTAATTTGAGATTTTTTGCTGACAATAATTATACTAAATGTTAACACTGTTTTCCAATCGTAAATTCAGAATACTATATCATAAGTTTTCTTAAAATATAGAACACTAAATAGCATGACCTTTTCTAACCATAACATCAAATATTTACACTTTTCTTAAAAAATAATTAGATAATGTACATGTTCAATAATTAAACTACACAAAGTCTTAAGTTTTTAAACTAAGATTAACTAAAAACTTAACCTTACTTATAAAGGAGGACAACTAGTATAAGTATGTACATAATGACATGCCAGGGTTGTTTCCCTTCTAATAGAAATAATGCCTGTTTTAATAATATTTTGAGAACGCAATATCTGTTCAAACAAGCCCGGCGTCTTTTGCCATTCCGTAAAATATTGTGTTCGGATTCTGTAACAGAGCTTGCGGAGCGTCAACCTCTTTTATGCAGCCACCTTCCATGACAACAACTCTTAAAGATCGAAATATTTATGTTATTTGTATAGACAAAAGTTATTCTTAGTTTAACCATATTTGACTCCAGCATGTACAATTAATGTAATGCCAAATGATAAATATACAACAAAAGAAAATATGTTTGGAAACAAGTTCTTGTGCCATTAGCTCGTCAAGAACGAAAATATTGTTGTAGTGATACACATTTATACAAAATAATTTTACAATTCGTCAATAAATGGCAAAGTTATGAACTGGACACACAGTCTGAACGAAAGGGCTGACTGTCGCTTTAAAATCTACATGGCTCTCTATACTATGACGAGAAGGGGGATAAAAACATTGACAATCTTATCGAAAACAAAGTTGTTTTTGTCTGCCAGATATAGCATTTAAAAATATAGCTTAATTTCTTTCTACAAATATTTACTTGCTAAGATTTTATTCAAAATTGATGTACATGTACCTATTTAAAAATTTACATCACATTTAACAGCACATTGATTTTTAACTGATTTCTCATAGTCAGAAAATTGAAAATGTACATTAAATATCATACCTATCATAGTCCATCACAGTATGAAGTCGGTGAGCTATTGTCAAGACAGTGCATTCCTTAAATTGTTTGCGAATTGTCTCTGAAACATTAAAAAGTGACTTCTTATTTTATACTTTTGAAAAGAAAATGATTAACAACATTAAACACAGTCACTGTGAATTCTGAAGGTCTTTTCAAAGTATTATTTAAATTTGAAATACCTGAATATTAAAATTTATTTTGAGTGCTTTCTGTTCTAGATATTATAAAAGCATTGATTTTGGATAACATCGAACGCCAGTCTTTTAGGCCTTCTTCTCTCATTATAAAAAAAACAACAAAAAAAACCCCCCGACAAAATACTATAGTTACATCGCGTGTTTCCGACAATTCATTTGCAATTGTAGTCTATTTGATAAAATCAACATTTCGAATGACCAATTAAAGAGTCTGTTTTTAAGCGTTTTGATTTGTTTTTATTTTTATTATCAAAGTCTTTATATAAATACACTATCAACATTGAGGATTAAGGAAACTAGACATACAATTGACTACCGTAATTTTTCTTTTAAATAAATTGAACATTATTAATAATTGCAAAGGTCCTATCTAAAGTTGAAAGTACGATATTTTCAGAATTTGGAAATAACCTGGTCACTTAACAATTTAATATTCTAGACTAAATGTTCTTTACTTCATTTCTTGTGGAAATAAGATTCGGAATCATATTGATTAAAATGAATTTTCTTTAATCTATAAATAATACATTTTATAATTAAAGCACTCCTGTTACATCCCTATTGTCATGAATAATTGTGACCATTACATAAACTTTATTCACGGTGCTGGCGATTTTCGAAGCAATCTTAATAAAAAAAACCTCTAAAAAACTTGCTGTATTATCAATTCGATATAAAAAATCTTGAAAGATTATATGACATATATTAACGATTGATTGTATGCTTATATAAACCACGCCGCCTGGCCTAGCGGATCGAGTTATATATGCATGCAACATAATATGTTGGTCAATCTAACATTTGAAATTTATGTAGCTCATATCAAATACCTTGTATAAGTTCATCTGTTTCGATGTCAACTGCAGCTGTCGCTTCATCCAGTATCAAAATCCGTGTTTTATGTAACAGTGTACGTGCCAGGCATACCAGTTGTCTCTGTCCTATGCTGAATTATCAAAAAAGGTGAAGACAATATTACATAATAAATAATTTCTTAAACATCGTCTTGTTTCTATGAACATAATAAAATACTTATGTATAGTAAAATAATATCACACGCTTAATCCATTCTCTTCGGCGTTTGTAATACAAATTTGATATTTTACACGACACGACATACCCGTACCAAGTACAGTTTAGTCATTCTGATCATTTGTTCCAATCGGAACGTCCTTGTATATTATTCATAATAGGCACTTATCCGATTTTATTTGCTTACCTAAGATTTTGACCTCCTTCCCCACATTCATAATCTAGGCCACTGTCTAGTCCGTCGACATATTGCTTCAGATGTGCACATTCTATAGCCGTCCACATATCTTTATCATTGAAACAGCCAAAGGGGTCAAGGTTAAATCGAAGTGAGCCGGAGAACAAAACAGGGTCCTTTAATAGATAATAATATACATTCAACCGTTTTTTTATATTTAAAATGTTTAGCTTTATAGAAAATCGCCTATAAGTTTTATATGAACAGTCCTTAACTTTAGAATCATGCATGTCGAAAACTATTGAAAAACTATATTAAGATAATAAATAAGTCACATTTTTTTTAAATCATACAACTTCACATAAACACGGTTTGTTGGTGTTCAAATAATACCCTAAATTATTTAAAGTTTTATACTTCACCTGTGGCAAAATTGTCAAGTTAGTCCTCAACACATTTAAGTGTAATTTAGATATGTCTTCGCCATCTATGAAAATAGAACCGTTAGTTGCCTCCAACATTCGGAACAAGCTCAAAGTCAACGAGGATTTACCAGCCCCGGTCCGTCCAACCACACCCACCTGCAAAAGTATTTCTAGGAGATATAGAAAGGGTCTTAAACAATGCGAGTCCACTCGTTTTTGTAAGTGAATTCTTAATTCGTTTTATTGATGTAAGTGAATGAATAAATAATTAAATGAATGAATGAATGAATGAATGAATGAATGAATGACTTTAGCAACATGCAAAGCAAACAATAATTGAGTCAAAGAATATATAAAAAATAATAAATCTATCAACCAATTACTCAATCAAGATAGATAGATAGATAGATAGATAGATAGATAGATAGATAGATAGATAGATAGATAGATAGATAGATAGATAGATAGATAGATAGATAGATAGATAGATAGATAGATAGATAGATAGATAGATAGATAGATAGATAGACAGATAGATAGACAGATAGATAGATAGATAGATAGATAGATAGATAGATTTTTGACTGGGACTGGTAATCTAACCCTTTCACCAGTGTTGATCGTTAGTGTTATTCCCTTCAGCACTAAGTCAAGTCCAGCTCGGTACCGAGTCATGTAATTATAGAAGTCGATCCTCCCGGTTTGCGGCCAACCAATAGGTCGATACTTCAATGAACACGCAATACTTTCCTAAAACAAAAACATTCACATATGTCAAGGTTGAAGAAATGATGATGGAAGAAATATTCTAACATTTGCATTACCAATTGTTCATTAAAAACTGAATAAAAAAGGAAATACTTTAAATATTTGACTGTAATTATTTACCGCTTATTTGTGCGGTGCTTGTATTCCACTGAGGTTTAAAAGCCTAAAACATAACATTTGAATTTCTTACATAAATTAGCTTGGGCACTTTAAACAGAAATATATGCAAAGATAGTTAAGAAATCTACTTTGAAATAAATTGAAAATCGTATTTTTATGCTTTTCTTAGACCGATTTGAGTGAAAAGCGTTTAAACGCTTTTCATTTTAGGTCATTTTTTTACAATTTGAAATTTTCTTCTGGAAAAACGAAGTGCGTGAATGATCTGAAATTTTGCACAAAGATTAGTGGTCTTAATCTTCATCAAATGGTACATTTTACTGGAAAAAATATTTTCAGTCCCATCATGTCAAAAAACCTCAGTGGAGTCCGTTCGAAGGAACAAGTAGGTCATTCAAAATGATAGGTCAAAAACGTTCCAAAGTCACTAAACTACATGCACAGTTGTACTTATCGCGTTTCATCATGTCTTAAATAAATTATTCAAGCATAAATTTTCAATTGCACAAATAACTTCCATCAAGCTAGCAGGATAAAAATGAATTAGGCGAATTCGAATTCAGTAAAAAGGGTATTCTTGTAATATATAATATTATAATATATCTTACCTCGGCTGGCAAATTTGTGTAATCTGCAACTCGTTCAACTGACACTGTGTCCATTAATAACTCACTTACAGAAAACACAGCAACATTTATTGTGATGGTAATCTGGAAGAAAGAACGCACGTTTTAGTAAATAAATACATGTATTGCAGTATTAATTATATACACCTTGTATTATACAGGAGTTATTCCCGGTTACATATTATCCTGTATATCGCATTGATCAATCACCTATATAACCTAAAGACCTTTTTTCACTACGATATCTCCATAGAAACGGAAGTAGCATTTTGCACATGCGCATTTTTCGTAGGCCAAAAAAAAAGCAATAATGAAATTATATATTTCTTTAACAATTTGATATAATGTAATGATGAACCATAAAATAAGAATAATTTATCTAGATAAATTACCAATACAATGCTTAATCTAAGTAATTAACTTGAACATTTCTGGTCATTCATATTTTAAAGACCCCGAATAATACATCTAATTTTGGCAAAAGAACCTCCGTATACATGTAAACATGCATAAGAATTTCACCATCTCTTGCATTTTAAGTATGCTGAAATACGTCAATTGGATATATCGTCCTTGACATAAGCTTTAACTTGGGAACGGAACGTTTGATGGCAGTCTTTGAATTATTATTGTCATGCATACACCAGAATAGACAACTAACCTCCCAAAGGACTGTCGAACGCTTCCAGTATCTAGTGCGTGAATGCATACACGTAACTTTTAAAATGTTAAATTAAAACGTCGTTTCATAGCTAAATAAAGACTTACGAATCGAAGGCGCACATCTGTGAAGGGACATAATAATAATTCATACCATTATAGCGTACGATATAGATAGTCCAACCTCCGACCCGCTAAGACCAGACGCAATTGTAACTATGTTAGTTACTAGTATAACAATATTACTGATTGTTTCAACACGTATTCCAATCCACCTGTAGATAAAATACCAGATAACTGTAAAGTATGTATATCTATATAGTTAGCTGATTAGATGTGAATAATTTCCTTCTGCATGCGAGGAGCGCAAATTGTTCAAATACACGTTAAAATGAATTCCAAATATAAAACATCGGAATTCCAAAAATGAAATATTAAGAATTGAAATATACTTATTTTATAGACGAGGATTCCATTTAAATATATTAAAAGTATACATATTAAATCTATAACTAAAATTTAACGTGTTAGAAATCTTGAATGATAATATTTATCTTTCAACTAATTTTCAATATAACCTCGATTGAAACTACAACAAAAAATGACTTAAAATAATTTAGAAGTTCAATCACCAACGTTAGCGACATGGACTGGCATGTTATTATTTTATGAAATCTATTAAAAGTAACAAATTGCTGATTAGACATACAAGTTGGCACAAATATGAAGGCTGATAAAATGCAAGACATAGTATTTTTATGTTAATTATAACAAAGTTATTACCCATGAAACAGTTTAATATTTTTTATCATAAGAAATGTAAACTGATATTTTACACAATAAAAATACATTTTCAAAATTATTCCTTTATTATTCCTTGGTGAAATGTTAAATTTGGTGATACAAAATTATTGAAAATACAGTTGAAAAATAGCCGTGTTTTCTTTTTAAAAAGCAAATAATGCTACTATAATTATGATATATATTAATTTTGCCTCTTTTTGGTAGCAGGTGTTCGTGATGTCATTAGTCAACGTGTCAATATGGCTCTTAATGGGTGATTGCTCTCTAAAGTTTTTTAACTAATTTATTTTTGACAGATCATTTTTAAAAAATGCTATCAATTGCTTCGCTTAGAGGCTTTGCTTTTCTCATAATTAATAATACCTTGTACATATAAATGATGCGTAGTAAAATGTGCTGTTCTCGTCCAGTCTTTTTCTAAATTCTTCCGCAAATCTTTGTCCACATTTATATGCTCTTATTACGCTTGCCCCGGTGAGCGTTTCACTAAAATGATTATATATAGGAGACCGTCTAACCGTCTCGAGTCTCCGCAATAGACGGACTGTTGGTAGAAAGTACCTCTGCAAAATAATCGTATGTTTTTATTAGTAAGGAAGGGATTAACATTTAAAAGCAAATGACACTGGCAAATTCTTTAACTAAGAACGTGAATTTCTCTTACATTATATTTGTTATCATTAGAAACATTAAACGTCCTACATAGTGGTGGACCAACTTGATACTAATTATATAATCACCTTTATTAAAAGATAATGACCCCTTGTTCATTCCAGTCTCTAAATACCATCACATTGTATTAAATGCCAACAGTAAAGTCTAACATATGAATTTAACTACCTATGCCAATAATACCTATATCTGTTATATTTCCTTAATCAGAACCCTTTAAATGCTTTGTTGCCCATGTTACCAATATCCATAATATTTCCGAAAAGAAATAAAGCTACCTAAAGTGGTTTAAGCACAACAATCATGACAGTAGGCAAAGGTCAAGGTTACGTTTTACTTTACAAAATCAAACTTAAAAATGTGTCTTGGGGCACCACACAAAAGGCCGTATTCCGCTATATACCGGTCAAGGCGCTTGAATGATAGAATGCTAAAATCTAAACCAGCCTAAAATTTAACCAGCCGGAATGCTATTTAAGATGTCTAATGCTTCTATTCACATCGATTTATAAACGATCATGAACTAAAAATGTACAAATCGGCAGGGGAAAAAACACGATATGTTTTCTACGTTGTGAATTAAATCCTAGAACAATACGCTCATTCGTTATAAAACCTCTTCAGATCAGTGAGCTTGTAGTGTAATATTTGTGTTTGAACATTGTTGAAAGATTCGCCATCTTTTGATTAACAGATGATCATAAAAGTAAATGAATATATTTAACCAAAGAAAGGACTGCCATGAAATATTGCAGTTCTCGGTCCATTTCCTGCCTATATTATTATATAAAGTATTAACATATTTATTCTTGAATAAAATGTATTTAAACTAATTCACTTACCACAAGCAATGCATAGATAATTCCGGCCAGAAAGATATTGATCAGGAACATGGGGGTTAAAATACTGACAACTATAAGAATTGCCAAAACAGAGAAGGCATTTAATGAAAATATCCTAAAGTTTAATGGGAGCTTGCTATCCATTATATCAACATCACTTGAAAATCTGGAAAACAATGAAATCTGAAATTATTTATCCATATTAAATAGTAAATCTAGAAAGTCAAAGTAACTCCAATTAAAGCTATTATGGTTTGTTTTATGCTCTTGTTGTCGTTTTAAATTTTTGTCATATATGCTACCTATACTGTATGTTTTGGTTAAAATTAAAACGTTTTGAAATGACAAGGAAAAAATATCTTCGTCAGTACCTTATTTGACACAGAAATATAATTTAGGTAATTTGCTGTCAAACAGCTTGGAACATTTAAGTGATGTCAACCTATTGCTTGCATATACAACTGATTATTTACCTATTTATAATTCGTCCGGTAGGTGTCGTGTCAAAGAATGAAGATGGCGACTGTAGAATACTCTCTAACATCTTGTTATGCAATTTTCCGGCTGCTGCTGCCATTCTCGTAAGTATCAAGTAGAAAGCAGTGTAAAGAAATACACCTGGAAACAATGACATTTACTTAAGAAATAATAAATCCCAAACAGTGATTGTATCGCTCAATAACATGACTGTTTGGAGTTCGGATGCGAGGAATTATATCACGAGGGCGTAGCTTGAGTGATATAATGATGCGCATCCGAACGACAAACAGTGATGTTATCAAGCGATAAAATCATAGATGTGGAAATATTATTTCGATTCTAACATGACATCAACAAATAAATGTTGCCGTGCCTGATATTAAGCTAAATTGTACCTGATTTGTTTTTTGTACTTATTCCTATCACATGTATATAATAATTACGTCACAAGTATAAATATAGAACGTCAGCAGTGATTTTGTTGCATAATAACACACACTTTCGTTTCTTCCATGTTCAAGTTAACATGATTTCAGGTGGTTATAATTAAGTTCTAAATATGCCGGAACATATTTTTTAAAAGAATAAATGCAGCCACACATATAAAAATGTTAGCAGTATCACTGTATTTGCATTAAGATACATTTCATCTTTTCTTCTCAAATGATATACATGTAATATAATTATATAAATAAAAAAACATTTTCACACAAAACAATTTTACCTTGAAAAACACCAAGTCCTAAATATATCATAAGATAGAAAATATAGTTGTTTCCTGGCGCCTCTTGACCGACAACATCTGTATGATTTAGCGTGTCAACATCCATTACATTCTGCTTTGTCCAAATGGACAACCATATATTTGAGAACATGTTGAGACCCTGGTATAGACCAATACACACGAGGAACACTACAAATGGCCCAATTCCAATCGCTTTAATAAAATTCAAGAAAACGGACGGCTTTATCTGAAAAGTGAAAACAAATATGTATTTTCACGGGAGCTTTTTGTTCGCCCTGTCATTTTTACGGGAGGGCTTTTGTCCGCCTTGTCAGTTTCGAACTGGAGGGCTTTTGTCATGGTTGGGTTAGGGGGGGGGGGGCTTTTGTCCGTTTCCCGTATCTTGATATCTGAAATCGAAGCGTCTGTTTCTAGTAATACTGCAGTTAACGTACAGATGTCTTGTACAAGGCTATATATGATTGAGCTCATTCCCCTTACACTTTTGAAGAGCCATACAACGCCAGCACTTGTTAAAACAGCAAACGGTCTGAACACATAGAGGATATTTGTTTAGTTCAGTGTAAGATCGGAATATATTTCACCGAGTGAGCACCAAAAGGTATATTTCACGAGTGGCGTAGCCACGAGTGAAATATGAACTTTTGGTGTTCACAAGGTGAAATATATTTCAATCTTACACTAAACTAAACAAATTTTCTTTTTATTACATGCAAAGAAACGTTTTTAAATGACATTAAACCAAATACTGAATGAAAAGCGCGCCAACTTATAATACAACGTGACGTCATTTACGACGTCACGTCATTAAGTTGGTACCCAGTATTGTGCACGCTGGTATTTCACTAAAACAATGTAAGGGGTTTAAATTCAAAACAGTGAAATTTTCAAAGTGGTAAAATCACTGTTTCAAACAGTGAAATTACCAGTTTTATATCACTGATATATTTCTATAAACCACCGAAAAGCATGTAATAAACTTTACTTTTTAATAATCAAATACCTATAATTTATGATTTTTGAGTTTATCGAGAACTTTATAGTAGATATGTTTACAATAAGCATATTTTCTATAAATATATCAAATATTGACAAAACGAATGATATGTATCATTTGGACAATGTTACGAAAATATTTCAGGAAAACAAAATGTGAATTAGAGTTCTTAAGTTAATTAGTATGGAAATTTGTATAGTGAATTTGTATGGAAATTTGTATAGTGTATAATAATAGTTTGTTATCTTTATGACTTGCTATATATTGGTCATGTCATATCAGATCATGCGTCTAACACTAACAACAATATCCATATATAATTATTATATAATTTGTTTGTACGTAGGATGCTTAATACTATCACCATAACTATTTATCATGGCATTACAGATCTGCCATCATGGATCCATTCACTCAACGTACAAGAAGGAAATGATATTAGCAATTGATGAATATTCTTTATTCAACTTACAGCGCCTTCTTCTGATGTTTCATCTTTGGTAAGCCGTGTCATAATCACTGACTTCGCGATTGTCCGAGACAACTGTTCAGAATCTTCCTTCTTTTGAACTGCTCTTTTTCTAAAGTAAATTAAAACATTGCTTGGTTACAGAGTATCCGACTGTCTTCTACTGTTATATTTATGGTTCAGGAATCTTCCAATGGTTTTAAACAAAGAAGGCATGTTCGATTCTTTGATCACCTTTCTGTCAAAAATTATTGTAATAAAGATCACCAAGGCAAGGTCACGTTTACTGCCCGTCCCGTTCCAGTACCCCCAATACTTGGTGACAATTATTACATGTAAAACAAGGGATATTTCCTTTTGTCAATTAAACAGAAGACAACATTTCTTTAAACAAATCTTCTAAAAAGCAAATAAAGATGGTGATTGAATTAAAGACGCCGCCTTTGTATTGTGAAAAAAGGGTTATAGCTTTCGAATTGTCCTACAGTCTCCCAAACACATAATTGTAATTTTGAAGTGGGTCAAAAACAAATCTAGTACACTATATTAAATAGTAAAACCTACCTATTCCGACAGCGTTCACAGTTTATAGAACTTTGAAAATCATCATCCGTGGTCACTAGTCCACCATCTGACTTGAGCCCATCTAGTTTATGCCTCATCCTTTCAATAACTTCTTCAACTTGAAATAAAATTTTAAAAATGTTATTTTCTTGTCCGTAAATATGTTTGAATTCATTTTATTTTCTTTTTAATGTTTTTCTGTTTTGTTTTTTTTCTCTTTAAATCTTAGAAAAGGCTTGTTAAATCATGTTGAAGAAAGCAATTTTCAACTGTTAAAGAGCCGTTAAAATATGTTTATATTTTATTGCTTTAACTTCACCACATGTACTCCAGATTGTTGTTGACGATTATAAAAATACACTGTTTGCTTTTTGTTATTAATGCTTCCGGGGGTCGCTTTTTTACAGGGGTTTTTGTTTCCTTACAACATCAGGTGTCAAGTTCCGTGTGGCAGCCGTAAAAAGTTGCCCCGTACTTCACTCCAGTGTTGTTATATTTTCTGGTCCTTCGGGATCATTGGTGCTAACACTATAAAGTATTGAGGCTTAAGTACCGCTTAAGCCGGTGCTAGGGGGCGTGAGGGATGTTGCGTTTTTTCATTATCCCTCATGTACAGACTCAATCAAACCGAGTCTGCAATTCTTATGTTGTTTTGTTGTTATTAATGCTTCCGGGGTCGCTTTGTTTCCGTTTTTTTCACAGAAACAGTTATAATACGGCAAATGTTATTTAAAAAAATGAAATACAAAAAGTCTGATACAATAAATGCAAACCTCTCTGTAACAAATATTCGGTAATACTCTTGATTTTAAGGACTTTTTCTTTAAAAGCCGCTCTGTATCACAGGTGAACGTCGCGTGGCCATGACTAACACTATACCAACGTTTCCCCAATACAACCCAATACCCTTAAATATTATCCAAACATCATAAGTATTGACAAACATAAATTTTATGAAAAAAAAAATATGACTCTAAAAAATTGTAATTTTTTAACTATACTTTCATTTTGCATAGAAATATGAATTGCATCTCAATTATCAGCGCATATATTCATGAATTTTTCATCGATCTTAACAATCCTGGTATCAAATCTTAGATAAATAAATACTTGTAAATGAAATAACACTGACACCACCTTTGCTGATACGTAGCAAGAAATATTTAAGCCCAAACTGTCAACAATTACTCGGAAGAGATATTATTGCACTGCTTGTGTATATATCTCACGAGAAAAACACACTCAATTCACAGTGAATGAATATTTCTTTGTATTGCGTATTTAAATATGATAAAATTAAATTATTATTTGTAATATTCAATCAAAACATCATATGAAACTACAATGCACCTTTTTCCGATATGTCAAATTCTCAATCCAAAATGAAAGTAAATTGACTCAGCAGATTGTTTTCAAATGGAGTTTTTTCATTAGTCACATGAAAACCTCGGACCAATGAAAATGCTCCATACAAAAGCAAAGGGAAACAAATCCTCTATGCCACTTAAATTCATTTTGGATTGATATTTAAGGGTTTAGGGTTGTAGAGGGGGAACGGTGGTATAGTGTAAGTCATGGCCACATGTTCACCTGTGCTCGGTATAACAAAATACAGATTTTTTTTACAGAACGTCCAATACGACAAAATTGACAAGTTACAGGCTTGGTAAGATTGAACCTGTTCATGAAAGAAACTAGAAAGTGCAAGCTACTGTCCACACCGTACCACCAGCTTAAGTAGTATTCAAGATTTAAACTTGTAATAGTGAACTTTTGAAATTATAAACATCTGCAGATGTGTTCATACTGACAGAGGGTATGAGAGAGGAGAGAAGATAACTGCAAAAACTAAAACTGACAAAAATACTTACATTCTGGATCATTATCATCGTTCTCGTATTCCTCTTGCAGAAACTGATGTACATACTGTGCAAATGGACCATCATGGCTTATCAGATCAGTGTATGATCCAATCTCTGATATGCGTCCATCCACCAGTACAACAATTCTATCTACCATAGGAAGCCAATGTAGTCCATGCGTAACAAGTACTCGTGTCTTTATGAAGAAACGTTTTATATTTAAATTATTATTATGATTGAAGAACTATCGTTGATAAAACTAGAATGACTTTTTGGTTACGATTGATTCACGCATAACAGTTATCTAAACAAGCATATTAAATATATAAAGAAATATGACCTGCATCTTATATCAAATAGAAAAAAATATCCCTTAAGAACATTAAAAGCGCCAAAATAAATTAGAAATGTTGCAGTTGCGGTTTGCTTAAGCCTGTTCATATACTAGTACCTTTGTAATAGGTTTTCGAGAGCTAACCATTGTATTGATACATATTTGAAAACCTAAATATATTAAGTTTGTATAAGTTAATCCGGTTGCTCTTGAATACACATGATTTTATATTAAATTCTTTTGTAAAATTAGTTCTTCTAACTATTTTTATTCACATTTGAGAAAGGTAAGAGACACGAAATTGACCGCCATTGGTCAATGTAATGATCTGGTGTTGTACAGGTGAACACAGTTACAATAATTCCATCGAACAATCGACACATGGCCACGCACTTATTTAAAGATAATTTATATTGATAATAGACAAAAAATGCATCTATCAGATGCTTAAAACCAAAATTGATAAAAAGTAAAAATAAAGCTAATCCCCGAACCTTGTTTTTTAACAAGCCAGTATTGCTAATCACATTGTTGAAAAGATCCTTGCCAACGTGAGAATCTACAGCGCTCAATGGATCGTCAAGGAGATAGATATCTGCATTGTTGTAAACTGCCCTAGCGAGACTGATACGCTGTTTCTGACCACCACTTACATTAATTCCCTGTAAATTTAACAGAAATAGGAGATATGGCAATGCTTTTATACTTGTATAGTTTTATTGGCAGTTTATGCCCTGAAGGGCGATATATTCATATCGCACTGCCTCTCTGTCAGTGCGACCCAACTTACACAAAATTTGTGTTACTGTAATTATGTCATGCATTGAAGGATTCTAAAATAACTTGGCACAAATTTCTATCACATCGTGATGATATGCCAAGTCTGAGTCCAATTTCTTTACTACAAAGGTCAAGGTCACATATACACTTTGAGGATTTACGCCCTCAAAATCAGGATTTTAAGGTTAACTCATTCCTGTTGGGAATGTTAAGAAACTTTGTTATATATAGAAAGATTTTTTTAATTACCTAGCATATATGTTTACCACATCAAGACCAAGACTTGTCTCTTCCTCCAAGACAAAAGTTACACTTATAGTTTGAAGGAACTCATTCTCACAAGAAGCGTTTGAAGGTATACATTAGTGTCCGGGCTGTATCTTGGTTATGCATTGAAAGATTTTTTAATAACTTGGCACACACATCTACCACATTAAGACTAAGACCCATGTCACAACCTATGAGGCCAAGGTCACACTTAAAGGTTGAAAGAACACATTAATGTCCGAATTGTTACTTTGTCATACATAAAGGATCTTATAATAACTTAAAATAGCACAAAAGTGTTCCATATCGTGATGATGTGTCGGTTCTAAGACCCATGTCCCTACCTCAAAGGTCAATGCTAAAGTTTTGATATGAATAGCTCCTTAATTTACAAGAACAATATTAAGCAATCACTTACTTATATTATCTTTTCTTTTCATAATACCTTTCTGCAATACATACGATACCTATTAGGGGTAATTTGTCACTTTTACGTAACAGCTTTTGTTATTTCCAAAACTGTAAACGAATCTTTAAAAATCGCTGTACTTTAATCTAATTAATCTCAGCTAAAAGTTTCAATGAAATCGACAAACAATGCATATATTACCCTTTCGCCTATTTCAGTTTCATCTCCTCCCGGTAGTATTTTTAGATCAGGGATAAGTGCGCATGCGTCAATTACTTTGAGGTATTTATTTTGTCTATATTCTTTTCCGAAGAGGATATTATCCTTAAGCTTCATGTTTTGTATCCATGCTACTTGTGGTACGTATGCGACAGCTCCCTTAAATACATAAATATAGTGAAAACATAAATCTTCTTTTCGCATGAAACTTCAATACGGAAATTACTAGTTTTCCCTAATTCAAACTACGGATATGTGAACCACTATAAATGTTATTACTAAAAATAAATCATTGCGGTAATAATTGCTTCATTTAAAAGATAATGTTTAGATAAACGCCATAGATTTACATTGCAATTATGCAATGTTATATGTTTCAAATTTCTTACCTTTACTTTCACATTTCCATGGATACGCTCCATTTCACCAAGAATGGCAGAGATAAGTGATGACTTCCCACTTCCAACCTGTCCTACCACAGCTAGCAATTCACCCTCTTTTACTTGCAAGTTGATGCTGTATATAAAGTTCTAATTTATTATTTTAATAAATCATAATTAATAGAAATATACAGGGATGGCCACGAGCTCTTAAATGTCAAAATAATGATGTGCGATAGTGTAACTACTAAGAAAGTATGATTATATAAGATACACACATGTTACTCCTTATGATAACAGCAGATCGTAAAGCTATTATAAAGAAACATAAACATTTTCTTAAGCAAGAATGCATCTACATGTACAAACAAGTATATAAGTAATAAAAAGATTATCGAAACACGAGGCTATCTGATTTGTACGAGAAGGCGTAGCCTCAGAGTGTTAATCAGATTGCCGAATGTTTTGATGTTCTTTCCCTTTTGTGACATTATCAAACAAAGCAACACGTTCCCTGTTGTCACAATATGAAACCCCGGCAGAAAGGAACCAATGAACGAACATCTGAATATGATATTTCTGTCGCTTTCCTTTACTCTGCCGTCACAATATGTAAACCTAAACAAAATGAGCCAATCAATGAGCATGCTCTGGAGAGCGGGAAACTAATACCTGCACTCCAGTTAACTCACTATGCATGTGTATATACGATTAAATCTGACACATTGTCAACAGAAAGGTCCCCAAACTATGATACAAATATAATGAACATACTCTTTCAGTGTCGTTTGAGCCTGGTCTTCCTTCCAGGCGAATTCTCCATCTTCTATAGAAATAGCGTATTCTAAAATAATGATGATAATAATTTGTAAGTGCTACTCAGTAAAATGAATAACTTAATACTTACAATTCTAAAATGTGTAATGACCGAATAGCGAATTATACAGTCTGCGATTAGACGGCTTGCATTTGATGGAAACTGACTTTAGTCTGCACTGGTTACATTGGTTAATTGAGTTAGTGTCTGCAGACTGGATGAAACATTAGCTTTGCAGAATGGCATATCTCTTAAAAATCAAAATCATTTGACGTCTGTTTAAAAGTCCTTTCACTTGACTGTTTAAAGCAGACCGACCAGATTCGGAATGTAATGGATTAATGCAAGATATTAATATATTAATTAATTAATTAATTTATTAGCTAATATACTTTTAAAGAAAGAAATGCAACACAAGATTTTCCTAAATAATATGAATACTTGTCCATCACCTTATTACCAAATTTATCATATTGCGTTGGTAGTTTACAAAAGCATTAATTGCCACGGCACAAAAACATGTATACCTGAATGCTTTACATCTAATACATTTTTCTCATCTATATCTGGAGTTCGCAAAAATGACTGAATTCTACCGACTGACACATATGCCTGTAAAATACAGAAAAAAATAAAATGATAGTATCTTTTGAGTCTAGAAAGCGAAAATGTGAGTCTCTGGTATAAAAATAGCAATTTAATGAAAACCATGAAGGACGCCTTAATCGGCGACATGGAAAATGCTGCAGTGAGCGTGTTTATGAATAACAGTAGAATAAACGCAAACCACCAAGTACGCCCGTAAGCACAGGGCATACTATAAATTCAATGTTTAAATTCGAATTGAGTATACTATTAGCAGATGTGTTCATACTACGATGCTTTTAACACCTTAAATGAATGTATCTTTTTTGTAAATGCTTTTACATACAAAACAATCTGATTAAAATTTATATTTGCTGATAACTTGTCTGATAAAACTGAAATAGTTTGTCTTAGCCATGTGAATATGTTGTACCGCTAGCTCACGGAATCAGAAAAGTGTAAGCTCGCGCTAGAAAATAATGCCCGTGAATTAAAATTCAAGCAATATAGATTTAAATGCGGAAAATAAGTCGTTTTCTGCACTCCCCTCCCCCTGAAAAACAAACATATAACAACAATGTTATACCTGAACTAGACCGTTCACCATTATGGGAAATAAAGAGATTGAGAACCTAAGTATGTTCACTATAGTAACAGCTGTGAAAGTTTGACGTGGTTCCAGCAAATGTGTCGGTGAAGTAGTCACATGAAGAGCTATTAAAATGAACATTATCTGAAAATAATAATAAAAATCCCTACTGTGAGTGTTTACAAAGAAGAGTTACGGGAATAGCAGTGCCGGATAATTCAGTCGTTGTTGAAAATTTTATTATACGAAAAACAAAATACTATCTACTTTGAAATTGGGCGACATGAATAAATAAATAAATAAAACCAATAAACCATTAATAAATGATTAAAACCAATGCAATAACAAATTTTACTAAACTAGCGTTAATGGTAAAAATATGGACACAAATTATTCTCGAAAAAAATGAAAAAGACACAAGTTACTCACTAATTGACTGACTGACTGACTAATTGATCAATAATTTGAAAATGCATAGAAAGTTTCACTTGAAGTACATATGTGCGTTTGCCTAGGCAAGTACATGATCGCTATTTATTCTGGTTCACATACGTTGATTGCTTATTTAATAACTAACAAATCATAAACAATAACAAACAACATTTAATACTAAGCACGTTACCACAACAGGTGTATGCATGGAGAGAACCACTGAGATTGCTGATAACCAGGCATATTTCCATAATTTATTCACTTCCGCCGAGCGTATAGCCTCTATTTTACTGATGAAAGACGTCTCCCATGAATACATCTTTAAAACCTGAAATACAAAATAATTCATCGCAAAATTACTTTTTCGTTTCCACATTCACACCATATTTTACGTACGTATAATTTTACAATTGCACTAGATTTTCACATTCCAACCCAATTTGTATAACCACAGAAGTTTCATAAACTAGGATGAAAGGTCAACACATGAATCCAAAGTTAATGTTAGAATTCGAGCGTGTGAAGTGGTTTGAAGTCCTTAACCAACCTCGGACGACAATTGTCACAGGTTCAAGATCACATCACATTGACGTTGTTTGTCAAATAATTTGCCCTCAAACTTCATAAGAATATTGGTCTTAATGACTCCTTTTGATTTTTAGGTCGTCGGCTCAAAAGTCAATTTCAATGTTTTGTATGCCAAAAACGGATTGCAAATAAATATATGTACAACACATGAGCCCGCGGCTCTCAAATAACATATAAATAGTGATTGAAGGCAATAGATGACACTTGATTAATTTATAAGTCAATGGTTCAAAGGTCACATTGACACTGTATGCAAAAGCGGTTGCCGAGTAATGTCTCGAAAACACAAGAAGTTGTTGTTTGCTTTCCAATTTCATGAAAACATTGCTCTTGGGCAGTAAATAATGCTTTTTGATTTCGGGGTCTTAAGGAAAAATTTCAAGGTCACATTTATCTTGTACCAATGTATGTCCAAACAGTGTCTGAAAAATATCTTTGGCAACCCATAGGCCCCAAAACTACAGTTTATGTCTCACCCCTAGTGCTTATGGGGTTCAAATGTCAAAGGTCAAGGTCACATTGAACTCGACAACCAATGGACCTTAGGCGGTCAAATTTCATTAAAATAATCTCGAATTTCTTTTAACACAGTATGCCAACATATTTGAATTGAAAAGTATATAATATTAATTATGCGTGTACCACTTCAATTAAACATTTACAACATTACTTTTATTGAAAGTACAAACGCACTAGACTAGTTAACAAACGAATCGATTCTCTGATGCAGATTTCAAAGATTGCAGTTAAAAGAAGAAGTACTCTCAACCGCAACATGATGTTAATGTATCTTTTTTCAAGCTAACTAACTATACTATAAAAAAGTTTGTAGGGTTGCTGTTTTTTCATCTAACTTAATTAATATTTTATAACCATACTAAATATGGAACTCTTTTGATACTTTCACAGCGTTAAAATTTAATAACAACTTCATATAATGTAAATTTATTCATACATTATAAGTGACATTTTGATACTATCTTTATTTACGGTACTCGGCGTTAAATGTTACTTACTGTGTCGAGTGATGTAGGTAAATTAATATTTAAATCATATAGTCAAGATCCTTTTCAGATATGAAGCCTGAGCACATTGTATGCACCATTATTGGTCCAAAATTTCTTATACTTTTACAGTCCCATACTAAGTTTTGAAAGCTTTTATATTTGTTTTATGGGTTAAAATAAAATTTTACTTTAAATTTTTTAGTACTACACCCAAACAGTTTTAAACACCTAAAAATTTGGGGATTTTTTAAAGGGTGACCCCAAAAAAAAGGGGCCAAAAATTTAAATTTTGCAAATGTTTTTTTAAAGAAAAGAAGGGGGTTTAGAAAATATTTTTTTTTTCAAATTTTAATTTAGTTTGAAACGAGCTAAAAATTTGATGACTTTTCCCTTTGTTCCCCTTGACAAAAAAACGATTTCCCCCCCAATTTTAAAACCCGACAATATTCATCATTTAAACATCTTTTTAAATCAAAACAATAAAAATTTTAAAACAATCGCTTTTTTTAAAAAAAAAAGACCATGGGATTTTTTTAATCAAATGAAATTGCATTTTTAAATTTATTATTTTTAAAATTTTTTCATTTTTCCAAAACTAAACATTTTTCCCCAAAAGGGGTTTTTTTTTTAAAAATAAACATTTTCACTAAAAATTTAAAATTTTAATCCCTTTTACTGATAAATTTCCCTTTTTTTTATTTTTTAAAAACCAAGTTTTAAAAACAAAAAAACTTTGTTTTGGCTTGATAAAATTTCCCCTTTTAATAATATGGGTAGTAATTTTAGGGTTTTTATAGCTTTTTTCCTGCCATAAAAATTTTTAAATACCTTTTTTCCCAAATTAATAACTTGGGTTAAAAGTTTTTTAAATTTTTTGCCCTTTAAAAATTTAAGGGGTTTTTTCTGTATTTTGAATTTGCGGGTTTCCAATAAAGCCTACGGGCGGGCCAAGAAAAACGAAACCCTTTAAAAGGAAAACCAAAAGGGCGGCCATCCCAAAATAATTATACAACAAGAAAAAATTTGTTAAATGTGCATGGCAAAACCGAAAAATGGTTCAAATTGAATATTAGATACAACTTGAAAAAAACATTTTTTTACAAACTTTTTTACAAAATTTTTAACGTACCAAAAAATCCGATCTTTTACCCTAGTTTTTATACTTTAATAGTGAATAAAATATATCTTTTCATAATAGTTTTTTTGGATATACGGGTCTTTTTGGGAAAAATTTCCCCAAAGCCCCCCCAAATTTGTAGCCAACCTTTACTATTCCATTAAAAATACAAGAAAAAACCCCGGGAAAAAAAAAGGTTTTGAACCTTTTGACAACAAGGGCAAATAGTTTACAATTTCTCCCAACCGGGTCGTCGTTTTCCCGAGGTCCATTTTTAAATTTGCCTTAAAAAAAAAAAATTTCCCGGGTCATCGATATTTTAAAAACTGACCCGTTTACCCTAACATAAGAACCCAATATATTCGTCTTCGGAATTCAATAATTATGTTACTGTGAGGAAGAGAGAATTCTTGAGACGAATCTTGAATATGTTTCATAAAATGAAATGCGCTTTGTGAGCAAAGATTAAAAAACTAATAAGATATAACGTAAAATGCATATTGTATCATGCACCACAGCAAAAAATATTTAAAGCGGTATTCGACTCTAAATGTATTGGAAACGATTAAACTGAAATCCAACATTAAACTCTAAATATTGCTGACAGAATCAATATTTGGAATTAAACATATGTATGTTGAAATATAATATTATCAAGCCAAATAAAGTGGAGAGATCGCAATTATGCTTTCTAATTGTCCTTATATTAGTTGTGATGACGATAAGTCATGCTAAGAGTAAAGCTTAGCTAAACTAAGGGCTACCTGCAAATTTATAAAGTCTTGTAAACTTGTACAGTTTTAGCTCATTAAGATTTAAGATTTTTAACTTGAAATTCCCGTCATCTGTTTTTATTTTAAATAAGAGAAGTTACTATGTACTTTTAAATATCATCATCGTATGTCGATAACTCTCTGTTCCATAACATTTCGACAATAATGTTTCTATGAAGACATTTGTCCTCTATTCACTTTTGTTTTAAAACACCTTCACAACCTTTGTAAAAACTCATTTTTTTACTACAGTATAATGTTATAAATAATTAAAGTCGGATACCTTTCGATACACAAGAGCCATCAATGCTGTTTTAACATTAAGTCCAAGCTCTAGCATGTGTGTGAAAGATGTGTGGTGAAAGAACAGGTTGGCAAAGGTGAATATTAGAATAGCCACGCAGCAAAAATATGCTATCCACATCGGAATCGGGAAACCCGTATCAGAATCCCGTTCGTCAATTACTTGAATAAGGTATCTGAAATCACACAAAATTGTGTATTTAAGCTGCACGCCTTCAGATGAGCCAAAATATTTCAAGAAAATTAAAACTGAGAAAAATGTACTAATATTTCAAGAAAGGTAAAAAAATTCATGATCGATGTTGAAAGTTTACATGATTATTTGCAATTTAAGACTGATTTTGCAGTATTTTATCACCATAATTTCTACTGCGTTACTAACGCAGTAAGGGCTTTTTTGCACATTTTGACCTCTTTTTAGTTATTTGCATGGATTGTAGGTGCCAATTGCAATATGCAAGTAACTTCATTTGTTCACCTCACAATATTTTACTGTCAAATACATTATCAAAATTTTCATGAAATTTAACATGAATCTGGAGGCTTGCTGCTTTAAGATTAAGAACACTAATGAGTTGGTATATGGACTGTTTTTCACCGTATAAAGTTTACGTCGAATAAAGTGTACGTGTGAGGTGTATACGGTTTCTAACATACGAGTGAGCTTTATACACATGTTTAAATGTATCATGCTTACGGTAAGCTGTACTTATTTCTGACGTAAATATCTTTCGAGAGCTGTATGTGTTGGATATGTACATACAATCTCAAAATGTTACACACAAATTCCTAGTTAATGACTTACAGTCATCCAAAGATTAACAAGAATAATTACAGGATTCATTTGTTGATCATAATCTAGACTACACTCCTTTTTGCTTCAAATACCTCCTGATGTAGATCTGAATGAGGCAAATCATTCATCAGGAAAATCAACAAACAAAGGATTGATTCTTCAATAATTCTATCAGAGAAGCTGCTTCTAAAAGCACTCGGTGTTGAAGACAAAAGTAACAACAATAATTGCATGACAGATATCGTAACTGCACAGTGTGTAAAATGGAGGCTATTGTGATGAAATGATAGGATAAGGATCAAATTAAATCAAGAACATTGGTTTGTGTATTGATGCTAATCGCAGCAATATTGGTGATATTTCTCATATAAAACCGGCGTCAAAATAAATAAAATAAATAAAAAATAAATGCGTGACGTAACATAATGAAACAACATAATGAAACTTTTAGATTCTGCGTCCATTATAATACACATTTCAGATGGATGTATTACCAGACTTTATAAAATAAGAGTTGAAACACTTAACTTTAGGGCAAACATAACAAAATCCTTTATTTAGATACACATGTTTATATTTCAGGAAATTTTACTAGTCTAAGAGCTGTGGCAGTAAAGAATTATGCTACACATTAATACTAATCAAATATTTATCAGATTAGATGAGTAAGTTACAAACACTTCATAGCAACAAAAGATGTTTACATATATTATTTAAATATAATAACAATGTGTTTTAATCATAAAATATTCTGTAGATGAATAAAATTATGAAGGATTTACTTACTGTAGTACCAACGGAATCATGTACCATGCTATTTGACCTAGTATTAAGAAGGAGACGGCTTCAATCCAGTATTTTAAGAAAACCTTTATCAAAGCTTTGTATAAGTTCGGTTTTAAACAACGCTTGTCCTCGTCATTTCCTTTTAAAAATAGAACGAAGATTTTCATTGGTCTTAGTATACGGTTTGAACTGATTTATTGATAACAATAAATGTCATTGGTAAATGTTTGGGTTTCAAAACATGCAACACATGTGAAAGTAACAACAGCATTGGATCATTGTGCATACAAAATTCAAGATGCAGTAGAGATAGATACTCTTATAATAAAAAACAATGCCAAAATAGACAATGACAAATTTAGAGTTTGGAATTAGATTATGCATATACCACATTCTTTTTTTATACTTGTAACAGTCTTAGTCAGAGACATATAACTGATTGTTCCGTCTCAGTGATTACAAAACTAACGTTAGTTATTCATTTATTGAAATCCATATAGGTATAAGGTACATACATTAAAGCTTTAACTAAAGCTGATTAAAGCAGAATTAACAATAACAAGAGCCGGTTGAACCGGGTGATGCTCCCCGATTAGGTTTTGGACACAGGAAGGTATACCTCTTATTGTGTCAGAGTTATGCCACAGACAAAGTTCAAAGTGTAAAAACAACCCATTATTGTGCACAACACATTGTCCAAATATTGTGATCATTTTTGTGAAATAGTTGTAAAATCCGACTTCAAATAACGAAGTAATGCACCGGACATGAGTTTGCTGCAAGGTCATGACATGACCTTGACCTTCAAGGTAGGGACCCAAATGTTGCATGCGGCAAGTCGATTCAATATGGTGATCATCTCTGTGACCTTCAAGGTGGAGACCCAAATGTTCCGGACCCTGCGTCTCAATATGGTGATCATTTCTGTGAAATATTTTTAAAATCTGACTTCAAATAACAAAGTTATGGACCAGACACGTTTTTGCTACAAGGTCATGCTGTGACCTTGACCTTCAAGGTAGCGACCAAAATGTTGTACACGACACATCGTCTCAATAAGGTGATCATTTTTGTGAAATATTTTTATAATCCGACTTCAAATAATGAAGTTATGGACCGGACACGATTTTGCTGCATGGTCATGCTGTGACCTTGACCTTCAAGGTAGCGACCCAAATGTTGCAAGCGACACATCGTCTCAATATGGTGATCATTTCTATGAAATATTTTTAAAATCCGACCTCAAATAATGAAGTTATGGACCGGACACGATTTTGCTGCAAGGTCATGCTGTGACCTTGACCTTCAAGGTAGCGACCCAAATGTTGCAAGCGACACATCGTCTCAAAATGGTGATCATTTCTGTGAAATATTTTTAAAATCCGAGTTCAAATAATGAAGTTATGGACCGGACTCGATTTTGCTGCAAGGTTATGCTGTGACCTTGAACTTTAAGGCAGCGACCCAAATGTTGCGCGCGCCACATCGTCTCAATATGGTGATCATTTCTGTGAAATATTTTTAAAATCCGACTTCAAATAATGAAGTTATGGACCGGACACGATTTTGCTGCAAGGTCATGCTGTGACCTTGACCTTCAAGGTAGCGACCCAAATGTTGCGCGCGACACATCGTCTCAATATGATGATCATTTCTCTGAAATATTTTTAAAATCCGACTTTAAATAATGAAGTTATGGACAGGACACGATTTTGCTGCAAGGTCATGCTGTGACCTTGACCTTCAAGGTAGCGACCCAAATGTTGCGCGCGACACGTCGTCTCAATATGGTGATCATTTCTGTGATATAGTTTTAAAATCCGACTTCAAATAACAAAGTTACGGGCCGGACACGAATTCGGGACGTACGTACGTACGGACTGACGGACTGACGGACGGACAGACAACCCGACGACTATATGCTCCCCCGAAATGTTTCGGGAAGCATAAAAACAGTCAAACAGACGTAAGACCTCTTAACCTATGAATAATATTTTCAAATACGGATATCTCTGAATAAACTGTAAACCACTTGATCTAGCGAAAGGACATACTTCGGTATATATTTTGGACATGTTCAGAAAAAAAAAACACAAAATATACGAGCTCATACATGCAAACATACTAGAGGAAACATAGTAAGAGAATAGATTGACCAGGCATCAGTATTTTTACACGTATCCAGGGTTAAAATACGAAGATAGAGCTAACCAGGGAGCTGTATGACATATTCGGTGTGTAATGGTTGCCAACGGCTAAAAATTTTAAGGTAAAGTTTCGTTTAGAGAATAACGATAGACACGGACACGTTCACATAAACGCATAGAATGAAGCTTTATTCGGTGTTGACTATTTACAGTCTTATATGTAAACGTGTACAATAGGATCATCTTTGGCGTTTGGATGTAAAGGTTATTATAAGCTGTATTTTTTTCAGGGGATTTATTATAATATTTTATGAGATATCTACAGTGTGTAACAAACCTCCGGAGCCCTTTATCTTCGAACCTTTCCTCCTTGTAATTTTTAGAAAAAAAAATCTTACTTCTCTTTCTTTGTTTTGTTTTCTTTGAGAAACTGTTTGAAAGTAGTGGGGTATCTTCTGATGTCAACCAACTTTCCATGTACATTCTATGAAGAACGTTTCCGTCGCCTCCATCCAGTAGCCCATATCCATTTCTATGACGATATTTACCCCTTTTAGCAGTAAGCAGTCTGTTAAATATAATCAAGCAATACATAATCAAGTTATGTATAGTTCCCTGTATATATATATAAACACATTCAACTTTGCTTATGTGTCTATAAATGCGTGGTTTGCTTTGCGCGGCATTGATACTTTAACAAATCCGATATCATCTGCAGTGATAAATGTAGTAAGATGAAGAACTGATGTGATTTAGAAACAGTAAAGTGCACATTTATTTCTAACCTTGCCGTTCTTTGTATTGAAAATGCCCATTACATATTATAGAGTTATAATTGGAATTATAAACTGAGTGGCCAATAGATAAGTAATAAGAAACAATCTGAGCGGATGTTCAAGCTAGCTAAGCATAGGTCTCTGTCAACAGCTCATGTCGCAGAGAGTTTAAAAGCCGTACTTTCTATGAACTGACCTTTTTGTTTCACAGTGATTAACTTCCTCATTCCAAGCCCTTTCAAGCTGAGGTGCCACTCTTTCGTTTTTAAGTCTTGACGGAAGGGCCCAGAATTTCTTCACGTCAAAAGTACCCGCATATATTTTCTTAATGGTTCTGAAATATGCATAGGCACTGTCTCGAAAAGTTCTTGTGAGTACATCAAATTCATTTACGGTATAACTGTTGCAATATCGTGATCTTAATACAATTGGTAGTTCATCTTTTGTTTGATTGGAATGAATAACAATTGTATTTTGAATATAACGCAAGTGACCTACAAATATCCTTTTTGTTTGAAATAACACATTCCCTACACAAATCTTTTACGTTAACAAGTCTCCGAATCGGCAATACAATAACAATATGAATTATTTATTGACTTAAATTGCAAAAATTAATAAATTATACAAAAGATTGATATAGTATAATAGTATCCCATACGCAACTCTTAAAAACGAATGATACTCACGGTGAAAACCAGCTATAAGTCATGTGACTAACAAATGGCACATCTTCTTCAGGACAGGATTTCTAAGAAATTGAAAGCAAAATATCAAAATAAAATTAATAAAGAATTTCGTGTTTTACATTGAATTAAAGCTCCTTCCATACATGGCATTGCTTAGTTTTTCGAGCGCATGACACTTTACATGGCGCCGTCACAGCGATTGAATCTTTACAACGCAGCTTCCATGGTGTTCTTATGGCGTTAACGTTAGCAATTGTCTGCGTTCATACGGTGACTCTTACTCATTTTCATGTGATTGTAAGAATTATTTTAAGTCCCGTTCAACTTTACCGCGTTTCAACTGCATTGACACTGCATTGTTTAATTCTTTAGTGCTCCGAGAGATAGTTAGAATTTTAACATAATCGTGTATATGGATACTTCAAGGCGTCACCACCTCAATCAAGAGGTTTGTTGTGGTGCTTGCGTGACTTTCTCTTCCGTTTACGGTGTTTCAATGCTTATTTGTACGGCGTATCGTTACTCGTAAGTTGTAAATATGTATATCCAAAATATGTATAATATATATATATGTCCAGCCATGGTCGAAAGCAAATCCTTCTACAAATATTCGACCTCCTCCGTCGACGTCAGAGTTGACATGCACAACGATATCTGAGTAGTTCTGTACCTGCTGCACCTGCAATGGCAAGAAGTCGTTTCTTGCCCTTTACCATTCATGGTGAATGCATGGTGTTTTGCTACATAACTCAATCATTTATACTTTTGTGTATGTTTTGTCCTAACAACGCAGATGAACGCAATCAAATAGGATTTGGAGAGCTATGTTTACCGTGACAGCTTCGTACAATCGCTGTAAGGGCATATAAAGTCATGATAATGATGTCATTTTGTGCCGCTTCGCGTCCGTATGGCAATCCAGCGATTGTTTTGAATACTGCAATTACTCGGCACACGGCGCTCAGCTCGGCATTTTGAATTTTCTTAGACGCTATGAGAACGCTGTATCAAATTGAAATATGATGCTTTCATGATAAATGAGGATAAAAATAGTTTTTTTATGAATTATTTTATGAATTTTTATGAATATGTTTACAAATTTGTATTTTGTGAAACAAAAGCTTGCTAAGTATAAGGATAAGATCTAACGGAGGAAAGAAAAAACACACCTTATCTGTACCTTGCTGCGTTCGCTTGTTTTTCTCTGCATAACAATGTAGGACTAGTTGAACAATTATTAGAAGGAAATAAGTGTAATGTTCCAGGGCTAGCAGGCAGAAGAAATATTTCTGAATTAAACAGACAATTAAGCATGTTAATATAATATGTATAGAAATAATTAATGCGTGTTTTAAATTCAATAAAGTTTGTGTATAAATATTTAGCAATAGCATAAGGGAAATTTTCTAGATATTTTATAATGTTTGCACTGAATTTTGCGTTTACAAATTAAAGGTTTATTCAACAGCAGATTTCTTCACTGCTAAAAAGCAACTGTTTTTATATTCTTTTTAATTAAAACCTATACATATATGTTCAAGTTTTAAAGCTCATGTAAATTGTTCCTCGGGGATTTGTGTTTGTGGGTTTCGGTTTGGAATTTGAACGCACTTCAACCGAAGATGTAAGTCGGACATAAGGAAAGAACTTGTAACTGGCTTAGTGCATTAACTGATGGCACTTAAGAGTTTTTATACTCTAGCCGTATAAAAAAAACAGTGAACTTTTTTGTTAAAGCGCGGTATCAACGATAACACAGAACGCAGTCAGAAAAAAGGCACTTCCCTCGTTATTTGTTGATTCAAATTACATTCAAGTAAGAAAATCTATAAATTTGAAGCTAACTGTATGTATTCCAAATCATAACAGGATCTTCAAAGTTTTAGGTACCTTTTAAATTGCCCCTGTTATACATCTATAGTATCTTTAAAACGTTTACGTAACGAATACCGCCTATATGACTGAAATACTATTGGGAAAAGGCGTAAAATGAAACAAACAAACAAACAAATAAACAAACAAACAAACTAAATGAGTATTGCAATTGTAAGATATATGGATTGTTTATTTCGGATGTACGTCAGAAAACTTATAAGTGTCTTACAAAAATAGGAAATACAATATTTCTATTAAAGAATCGCTACCTGTTTATATATATTTGTATAGATGGCTGGTATCTCAGACATCACAAGTAATGCCCAGAATGTAAACGGTATTGCCGATGTTTTAATACCCTTGTACCGCTGATACTGTTGTAGCATAATGGTTAATATCTAAAATGAATGAGTGGAAATAAAAAAAAATATTGCAGAAATAAATAAATAAATAAATAAACAAATAATTAATTAATTAATTAATTATTTAATTAATTGATTAATTAATTAATTAGTTAATTAATTAATTAATTAATATAGGTTTACATGTATTAATTAATTCGGTAATTAAATAAAAAGGAAAATTAGATAATCAATAAAAACAACATAGATAATAAATAAAATATAAAAGATTGATTAGATAAATTCTTACAAAACTGGCAATCTTGATAAGACAAGATGTCTCCATTGCCGGTGTGATCGTCATTTCGACACATTTTCCACCTGAAACATGCACCTCACGAAGTTGTAACCCTATCATTACTGCTGCCAGGGCTGAAAATATCTGAAAGAACAGCATTTTATATATGATTTAAAGTTTTTTTAAAATGATAGCAAACTGCCACTAGCATTACGTATATTAATCATTATACACTTCATACTTGACTGTCCTTTTGTTTGTCTGTTTCTATCCCCTACATTTCACCATTTAGTTTGAACATACCTTAAAATCATTAAGAAAAAGTATCGGAGGTTTTGCTATGCTATATATCACTTATGGTGCCATGTGTATTTTTCTTTCCTTTAAAGAATAGTATGGTGTATAACTTTACTGTGATACTTTTTTCTTAATAATTGACTACATAATATTGCCTTATATTTTGATTGAGCAAAATATCTTTGTGCCCGGTTTGTTTTATACTTATCTCCAGAGAAGGATTCAAGATTACAATAAAAAAAGTTTTCTAAGCTTGAGCTCAGATCTCAGGTATTTAAATGGTCAGAAACAAGCACAAAATTTTTATTGACCAAAAGTTATCTTGAGCGAAGAAATTATTTGTTGTTACAGTAATCTTTAGATAAGAAATATATGAACTTTGTCGTTCTCAACAACTTTGTCACTAAGACAGACAAGGTCAAGGTCTCTTATTAACGCCATCATTGGAGGTACAACTTGTCGTATACTTACCGCTTTCGCTAAGTTTAGTTTTGCAAATGGAAGCGGTTGCAAAGCTCTGCTTAAGGATATTCGGAGAACAAACAAAGGTGCTGCAATCCAAATAAAAGCACATGGTATCCAAACAAGTACTGTGTTCATGAAACATAATGAAAACTCTGGCTCTGCTTGGAAAAACTTTGTACCATTCTGTAAAAAAAAAACAGATATGTATTCAACATTAATTTATTGATTGCACCATGTAATTGTTTATTCTAAAAGTATTCCAGTATAATAATGATAAAAGTATATGTTATTGATGATGTTATGATGATGTAAAAAGTACATTGAAAATAAAGGTTATATGAACAATGACTTCGTAATTTCATACGCAATTAATACCTATTTATTTTGACGCACAAGAATATACTGTTATGGTTAAAACAGTTAAATGGTTAGTAATTAATGAAAAATAATCTCTTATTGAAAATAGATAATAGATAAAAGAATTTGTAATCGATGTAAAATTGTAACTGGAATTGTTCTTTTCATCCGCACAGTCTGATCAGGATCCTGCTGTTCGCTTACAAACCCTAAAGCAATTAGAGAAACTGATAGCGAACAGCATGTATCCTGATCAGACAGCGCGGATGTAAACGACAGTTTTCAGACAAAACATTAAAAGTACAATTATATTATATTTTATGTTTACATGACATTTTCATAAAAGTACAGTGTGCATAAATATATTTTCAGTGTATTTTGCATTTCCATTCATAAGAAAACTATGCTTTGATCTATTGTACCTGAGAACTACTTGTCTATGCTCTTTTTTCATTTCTTTCAATGAAATTCGGTAACCGTAACATGTTTGCATTAATCATTGCACCGCTAAAAGTCTTAGTTGCGAAAATGCACTATGAAACCTAGATTAATGTGAATCTATGAAACTTTGTAGGATATGAACTGCCTCGTTTCTTTTCCATGGTTGAATATTCTTAATAAAGTTTATAAAGTTAAATTCGATGATTTTGTTAATAAAAAATGAAAAACAGTAAAATAATGTTTTTTTTAATATTAGTGATCCTTTCCAATTGAATGCCTATGTCATTTAATATTGTGTGTATACAGAATAAAATGTTTTGGAACCAAATACTCTAATACCGCTTCTGTCCATGGAAGTTTGGCGATGATTTTACGCATATTCAACTCGCTTTTCATGAAAACAAATTTCTTCCATTTTAACTATTCTTTAATCATTTTTCATCTCAAAATCTACTCACAAGCAACACCTATATTGCTTAATCTACTCGTTTAACATTTAATAATTTGTATTAAAGTGTTTAACTGAAAGAAAGCAGTTTAATAAATATTGTATAGTATTAGGTCTTAATAAATCGATAGATTACATGAATATCAGAGATAATTGAAAAACTGAGTGGTAATCAATACTCTCACAAAACAACTAAAACTCAGCACCCGGTATGCGCGTATTAGTTCCGTATTGTAATGTCAGCGGACAAAATACGCTGTAACATTACTTCAGAATAGTATAAAGTTAACGAAATGTCGCACATCCGTTTTTTTGGTTTGAAAAAATCATTGACGCTTCATGATTTTACATTCATCTGAATGAAGTTGTATACGTTGCAATAGTGGTATAATAAAAATCAGTTTCTACTTAAAGGTTATAAGTCCTGAATATGAATGTAAAAAAAGAAGAAAAAACTAAAACTAAAACACTATAGAAGTTTTTATTTTTACTTGACCTTTCCATAAAACATCTTTCGCTAATCTTTTAAAAGAAACTGCTTCATGAAAATTGATCTTAAATGAAGTTGGAAGTTCACTCAATTACCTTAGCATCAATAAAAAATCATATTGGCAAGGCATTGCCCTTGAATCACATACCTCGTATTTTCGAGTTCACCAGCCGATAAACATAACCCTGACATAGATACCGTAATATTATTGAGTTTATACAAAGAATAAATTGGTAAAAGATTGATATAAACCAACGTCATCAACAGTGCATTGCACGTGCAAAATCTAAGATGTCTTAACATTTGTTTTTTCAAAAGGCAAAATCAAAACGAATTGCTCAAGGAAGAAAGACTTCAAAAATAAATAAATAAATAGATAATTAAAAATAAATAAAATTACAAGCATGAAGTGGATTAAATTCTTTTTTCTAAAGCATACAAGCAACGACCACACACCAATGACCGATTAAATCATGAATGTTGATTGTTTAGCTCTTGCTTATTGTACAAAGATCTTTGTTGGTTTACGAAATACTTTAACCCAATTGATTGCAGAGTTGTTTTTTTAGATTAAATGTTATTGACAAAGCTGAGGACATATCTAGAATGTATGAAGTCTGTGTACTCAGTGTATTACCAGGGTGCAGTTGATGAATTTGTAAAACCACCCGAACTTGACTGTTTTTTTAAAACATCTTAATGTTTATAGAAGGTGACTGAGTAAGAAATCTTATGTTTTGCATGTTTAAATGTACCCATTTATTCACTCCCACATTCATAATTATTAACTTACAATATCAATACATCGTGACTTTTAACAAAATAATAAATCGGCGATTTGGCTCTCTTTCAAGCTGAAAGTACCAAAATAAACTGAAATTGAGTTGATATATCTGCAATCTGGCTTCATCATTAAAGGTATTTAAGTTTACCATGAATGAGAAAATAATGCAAATTATGTTTAAATCTTGTTTGATTTACATTTTTTTTGAAGTTATAAATTTGCTCTCTGAGCCCCCAATTTGAAAACAAAAATAAACAAATAAATAAATAACACTTACTTAATATCACAAACTTAAGATTTTTTTTTAATTGCCTTTTTCCTTTTTCAAAGAAGTTTGTGTTTAGAAAGTTATCGAATTGTAAGTCATCACAAAGGTAAGTAAACATGAAGTCTTCTCAATTAAAATTAGTGAAATTGTAACACTTATTTAACTGATGATGGTTATGATAGTTATGATGATTTTCAATTGCTTTTCTATTTCATTGATAATAATCTTACAATAAGCAAAATATTTTCTTTTTGTTTTGTTTTGTCCATTGGTGAAAGCTTTTCTTTAGTTAAAAGTGTTTTAGAATAGACGAGTTGTTTGATAGAATTTTATAATATCGCTTTTTTCAATCGCATTTTTCTTATATTTTAAACAGAGAATAAAATTTGATCTGAAAAAAGCTTTTAAAGTTAGAAAAATAAGTTTGCAGAATGTGTCCTTCCAACAGAATTCATTTTATCAATTTTATTCTGAAAAGTTTAGTAAAGTCTTCTATACAGTAATAATAAATTGATCTGAACTTTTCTCTAATGCTAAAACTATGGTTATATGAAGTGAAATAAATGCACGTTAGATTTTATGATATCCAAAGCAAGCGAGTTTAATTAACATTTTGTTAATTCACCCGGCAACAGAAAATATACATAGCAGTATCGGATGCATGTCGGCGTTTAAACAGATATTAAAACCTATGTCTCAAACTTTATTAAACATTTCAAATTTAAATTGAGAATTTTATTTTGATTTATTCATGATAATTATAAATGTATCAAATTAATAAAGAAATATACATATCTTTAAAGGTATAGCATATCGAAAATATGTAATCATCACTGTCACAAATAAACAGAGGATATTTGTTTGTTTGAGTGTAAGATGAAATAATTTTATTTCATTGAGTAGGCTTTAAAAAAAGTATTCTCACGAGTGCCTACGCCACTCGTGAGAATACTGTTTTTAACTTTCACTACATAAAATAAAATTATATCTTATACAACAAACAAATTTTCTTTTTATTTTATGTTTAAAAACAACTTAAAATGAATTTCAATAATATTACGTAAATATTACAATGTGCTTTCCCCATTGAGAGCCTCATTTAGTTGAAATTTCTCATTAAATACTAGAAGTCTTGGGCTGAAAAATGAATTCGACAATCAACGTTAAAAGACGGTGATATTATTCATTTAATTAAGAAAATATGAATGATCGCTTGTTTTAATAATAAAAACAAACCATTAATATTCTAGTAGGAGAAAAAAGTCCAACCATCCATCCATATTTCTTTTACTTACTGCGAATTTATATTAGAACTGTTTTTGTTACATGTAAATGACAGCGATCGCCATTTTTAAAAGTTTTGTATTTCACGGGCGAAAAATAATTGTGATTGTGTTTGATTCAGAGGGATATCATTTGGATTTGTTAGTCTTACACCTTTTTAAAAGAAAGGAAGCTTATTTGAGGAATGTAACAGACAAAAAATAAGTGTTGACAGATGTGAAGACATTCAAAAAGCGGCTAGGAAAATGGAAACTTCGAATTGTCAAAGGCTGCCTTTCGAACGCTGGGTTGTTTACTTATTCTTCAGACTGATGGCTGGCATTGTTTTTAAAGTTTTCATAAAGTATACGGCGGTTTTGCTCGTAGGATACTTAAAAATTGCCCAATTGTCATCAAGAGCAGTTTTGCATGTGGAAGGAATGTATTTTTCAGACTGTAAAAATAATAAAAAATAGAGAAGATATTTGATGATTGAAATTTGAATTAATAGAAGAAAATTTTCTTCTTTTAATTACTTTTGACATTTAAGTTATTTATAATCTTCAGCTTTGCTTTTCTTTCAACAGCCTGACATTGTCAGAATCATCAGCAAAAATAAAATTGATGTACCACTTGGGGAAAATCTTATAAAATATGGTTTCGTCATTGAAAAATGTGAAATTATATTTTGATAATTCTCACTGTGAAATATCAAATATAATTTTCACGGATAAATATGCAATCCAATGAAAAGCATAGAATAAATAGAGGATATAAGTTTGTTTCTTAGGAACGGTGGAATAAACGAAAAAAGAGGGTATAATTTATGATAATCTCCCTAGCAAGTCACTTTGATCAGAAATACTGAATTGCAAATCTTTTGGTATAATTTTTTTCTAATTTCAGCTTAAATAAATTACAATAAAACTTAGACTATTAATGAGATGACTACAAAATATTAAAGGGAACGGTAAAATTTTGTATCCCATAGGTAAATTACATATTTCACCGAAGAACCACAATGTTTCTTGAATCCATCTTAAAAGTAACTTGTAACTAATAAAAATATTGACGGACAATACATGCTATTTGACCATAACTTTGTTAATTGTTTACTAACCGATGCTTCTACGCGAAATAAAACATCTTGTTTATCGTGATCCGATCCTTAATTGTTCACTACATTATAAAAAATTAAAAACAACGTACCCAAAATGTTTCCCCGCCACAGAACTTATGAAAGATATCCAAATCTGTATCCATGCCCCTCTCTTGATCAAACAGGAATGTTTCTAATAAGTCGTCTGCTAGCCTTTGTAATCATCGAATTAACGCTCCGATGAAGCCTCAGACGACAAGTTATGTAACCACATTTTAAACGGTGCGGTGCGTAGCATTCACATCTATTAAGATTTTAATGGCACATCCTCATTGAATGACAAAAACTTACAACTCAAATATAAACTTTACTTACTGCGTGCAGTAACAATACGGGTAATGCGTATTTGGGGACCCTGTCCACGAAGAACTTCGGGAACAGGAATTTGGGAAGTATGCCAGCTGGAGAAACCCAGAAATCAATATCCAGGAATACCGAACGGTGCAGAAACCCTGGAATATAAATCCCGGCATTGGTATATACATGTAGATATCTGATAGTCGGAGACAGACAGAGAAATCTTTGAAATGAACATTCGAACAGGATGCTCAAGAAACGGACTCCATTTATATAACACATCACCAAATTTATGAGCGCTTTAACTGTCGTAGCTGTGTGGACCCAACAACTACGCTCCTTGATGCAATGCCTTAAGCATGTAAAAACTATTTCACAAAATAAAACAAGACTTGGAATGGAAACCTGCTTAGCGCTTCATAAATTTTTAGTAAAAAAACCAACATAAATTACGTTATATAAGCACTAATATTTTCATTTTTAAATTTATGTCAGTCATTTGGGTTCTTTTAGAAATATTTAAAAAAATAATTTTGAACGTTTTCAAACTGCGTATAATAAAGTTCTTTGATTTTATGAATAAACATGAAATAAATACTTTTCGTATACATCATTACTAAAACATTTTATCTCCTTTTTGGTACTAAATTTATATAAAGTCATTTCAAAATAATCAAAATTATAATCGTAAATATGGTTCTTTTCATCATATGTTCATATGCATACAATTTAATGAAGGGAAACTTTGTATGTCTACGCAATACCATTTTTCAAATTCAATTCAAATTTATTGAAAAAGTAAGGCCCATTTGCGCATCGCTTGTAGTCTAAACTTAATGAGTGGCAATCCGCTCTTTCAGGCACTAAGGAAACGCATCCCCAACCCCCATTCCCACCCAAAAAATAAATAAATAAATAAAAATAAATAAATAACAAAATAACAAAAACATAAAAGAAAAATAGTTGACATTTGACATTTACAATATTAACTTTACTAATATGAAAATTACAGGATAAAACAACAAAAGCAATACCATTAATAGTGTGTAAAAGATGAGTAAAGTGAATATCAATAAAACTAGAAAACTAGACAATCATATCATTATCAAAGAAACACACCCCAAACAAAACAGTAACAATTAGACAATCAGATCCTCCATGGATGCATAACAAAATAAGAAAATGTATAAGAAAAAGGAAAAGATCGTATGATAAAGCTAAAAAATCAAATAATGAAGAACACTGGAATAAATATAAAACATTAAGAAACAAAACAACTCGCTTACTTAGAAATGCTAAATCGGAACATACCAAAAAACTGTCGGAAAAATTAAAAAATCGAAATCTAAACTCATCTGATTATTGGAAAATCTTCAAACAATTTATAAGGCCATCAGTAAACAGTAATGTTAAAATATTAAATGACAATGGCAACTTGTTGTCATCTGACACTGAAAAGGCAAACTTACTTAATCATTTTTTCCAATTGCAATCCTCACTTGATGATAAGAATAACCCTGTCCCTAACTCTGATATTAATCATAATAATAATAACAATAATTATCTTGATATAATACATACTACATATAAAGAGGTTCAGGACACTCTAAAAACACTAAGTGTAGGCAAAGCATCAGGGCCTGAAAATATTAATAACAGAATTCTAAAGGAACTGTCAGGAGAACTTGCTGTTCCTCTATGTCGTCTATTTAATAAATCAATTAGAACTTCAAAAGTCCCGTCACAATGGAAGCTTGCCAATGTTTGTGCAGTATATAAGAAAGGAGACAAAACAATTGTTTCTAACTATAGACCAATATCACTCCTTAGCACAGTTAGTAAAATTTTGAAAAAAATATACACAAACAGATTTTCAACTTCTTTGTCTCAAATAACACAATAACTGCATTGCAATCTGGTTTTGTTCCAAACGACTCCACGACTAATCAACTTGTCTATATATATAACACATTTTGTAAAGCCCTTGATGATGGCAAATACGTATGAGCTGTTTTCTGTGATATATCCAAAGCTTTTGATCGTGTTTGGCACAAAGGTCATTTCTAAGCTTGAGTCTACTGGAATAAATGGTGTGTTATTAAATTGGTTTCGCGATTATCTTTCTGAAAGAAAACAAAAAGTAGTTCTTCCTGGCGGCTCATAACAAATGGCTTCTATCACAGCTGGAGTACCACAAGGGTCAATATTAGGTCCGCTTCTTTTCCTCATATATATTAACGATATTGTCCTTGACATAAATTTAT